TAACATTTCTGTCTTATTTTGCGTACTTTGTATAGATAGCAAATGATTTGTATAGAAATTAACATCTCAGCATTACTATTCTGTTTATATGTTTTCTCATTTAGAAATGATGAATCGTTTTTATTTTTCTAAAATTATTTGGATATTTAAACATATGTTTTTAAGTGTAAGTGGGAGCAAAACAGATTATTAAACAAAAGAAATATATACAGTAAGGGAAAAGGACTTACTAGCAAAAAGAAATAATGCTGTTCAGCCAATTTTGTGAGCCAGACAGCTCTTTCAAACGCCATGTTATTTCCTAAACATTTAACTTTCTTCATAGAAGTTAAAGCAATACCGTTGGTCAAACCACTTATTGAAGAGCAAACAACAACAGCTCAATGATGTAGGCATGTCCTTCTCTTCTTATCTACAAGATACATTTTTTTTTTTCAATCATAGAAATGTGCATACACTAAAATTTGATTAGCTAACAGTCCTGTCCCATCCTTTTACAATCTGAATGATGTGCAAAGGGTTATAGGAGGCTAATATAAAGGCAAATTTAGGTACTATTAATAGAAATGAGGTATGAATGAACCATTTTTAATGAGGGTCTTGTAGACCGCCATTAGGCTAAATATTACATTTTCATGTCTTCCATTTACGATTGTTGCATGAGTTTCCACGATCATCAGAGAATGTGACACCACCATATATATTATATGCATCTGATCTGTGGATTATGAATACTGTTCATGAGTCATTTTCCTATGTTGATAGGATATATTTTCAAATATAAAGAGGTGTATATCACCTGCAGACTACAATTGAGCCTTTCTACATATAAAGTTAGGATACTTCTGCTCCTGTCCTAACACTTCCTTTGATTGTGATCAGTACAATTAGCACCTAAAGAGCAATGGTAATTATCTGGATAAAACAGTGCATTGATAGGTTTTGGCACTCACAGCAATTATCTAGATTCCTAGAGTTTTTTTCCATCACAGATGATGGAGAGCTTTGCATGACATATAAGCCATTTAATATCTTACTTAGAAGTCCATGCAATTCAGATCTATGAATAGCCAAAGAATAATGTGAGAATAATTATTTTTGTATCCATTAACAAGATCACTATTTTAATATCTCAACAAGATTGTGAAAGTTACTTTAATTATATATACTATTACATCATTGTTGTCAACATTTTTGGACTGAAAATAAATTGACTGGTTCTGTGCTTGCAGGATATTCCTAGATGTGTACATGTAATACAATTAATGAATTTACTTCCTTGTTATTTTATTTTTTATGAACCATAGTCTATTTCTGTATTTTCCTTAATTCCAGTTAAACTTGCACATAGTTAATCAACAAAATACACATATATTTAGAATTTTTATATGAATTTTATACATTGTATTGCTGATATTTTCTAAATTCTTAACAAATCTTAATGCCTGAACACAGTTTTGCAACCTTGACATACAGTATGTTAGTATGTTGTAAAGCTGTACATATTATCACAACTACTTAGTGTATCCAGGTGAATTATACTTTTTTTTGGGGAAAAAAATGGGCTTTCATTTGGTGGTAAATAGCATAGAATATCTCCTGATTTTTTTTTTTATTACCAAAGAAAAACTGGCAAAAAATAGAAGAAAAAAATACCTTCCACACAGAAAACAACACAAAACTAATTTTCCTGCTCCTAGAAATCATAGCGATACCACATGTGTACGTTATTTGTTGTTTGTACGCATAGTAGGGCATGGAAAAAGAGTGCACATTTTGCTTTTTTTTTTATCTTACCTAAAACATACTGACATTGACTGACTCTGATACCAAATTAAAAAAATGCCTTTTTAATCCTACCTAAAATTCACTGACCTTGATCTTTTACCCTGACTTTGATTCTGAGCATGACCTTCCACCCTAACATCCACAGTGATCAGGCTATTGAGAACTGTTCCTCTCAAATCCCAATCATTAGTATGTCCATGACCAGGGGCGGACTGACAACTCATGGGGCCCCCGGGCAATAGGGGATCATGGGGCCCCTGTGTCCTTGCCCAAACTCAAAAAAGCCTATGAAAAAGGTACCAGGGGCATCTCATGGGGCCCCTTACTGACTCTGGGCCCTCGGGCAGTGCCCGAGTTTCCAAATGGTCAGTCCGCCCCTGTCCATGACAACCCATGCGCTCTCAGCACAAACACAGTAGCACATGTATGCTGCCCCACACTTCTTTGAGGCCACATGTATGCATATGCTCAGTGGGAAGGAGTTAATATGTACAATATTTTATTTATATATATTGGTATTGTTTGTTTGGCAAGGACATCAGCTATGTGTATACATATTATTTATCTTAATAATTGTACAAACTCTATTGGGGCTGAATATTTTTCCTTTTTCTGGTCTTTTCAGGACTAAACAGTATTTAAACTTATGGTCACCCACAGAGGCTGTAAAAGCAATAATTTCTCCTTCCCTCTGGCTGCATTCCTGCAACCATTTAGAAATACTGTGAGTGCTTTAATTGGTCACAGCTTGTCACATGGTACAAGGCTGTTGTGAATGGCTTTGTACCATGTGACCTCTGTGATCATTCACAGAATTTACAAGTATTTAACAATGATGTCAGGAATTAGGACCTCACAAAGTGGCCCCGTACAGCGATCTGTGTTCCGCAGTGTCCACTGGACACAGCAGGCGCAGAACACGGTGCTGCATGCTCCCAGGGAGCACGCACAGGCTTTGGATGTGGGGGGACATTTAGAAATGTCCACCTGCATCAGCAATGCTCCCTTCTGGCCGTTTATCAGCATGGGCCATGTGAGAAGAGGTTAAGGGTAATGAATAACAAGGGGAGGTAATGTACCACAAACACATACCCCAGTGTGCCCTTTATTCTGATAAGTTCCTCTCTGGATACTTCCACATCATCTTCAGGACTGGATATGAGGATGAAGCTCTTGTCCCCTTAACACAGAGGAAAAGCACCTTGCAGGGGAGGTCTCTACTTCCTTCTTTGCAAGGTACCATCTAAATGTTGAAGACATATGTTCTGGTATTTTTCATAAGGGGGTGCATTCTCACGCCCACTCCTTTCCTTCTCAGGTACATGCCCAGAAAGTAGTTATCTTTTTTTTTCTTTTAACGTGTACTGCTCTTAAAAAAAAGATGTGGACTCCCTTTTAAAATTTCATACTAGACTCTTATACAGACATGCAGCCTGGGTGGACAGGAAAGAGGTGGGCAACATGTGTGCACCCCCATCCTGACCCATACAAGTCCAATTCTGAGAGTTTCTTTCAATGGAGGACAACAAAGCTTCCCACCCCTATACAGAGCACCTTGTCCCCCAAAAATGGTATGTGGCTCTGAAACGCAGTGATTTATTTATTAAATCTGTGTACTTTTTAAAGCACTGTGGGCTCAAGATAAGATCATTTTTGTACCACAGGGCAAGAAAAAATTGGTCCTGCACTCACCACAAATTGTTATCACTTTATTCGTTTTGCTGCATTTGATATATGCAGTGAAAAACACTTTTGCCTGTGGCCATTTCAGATGCCAACTGTATACTCTTTTGCGGTATTGAGATGCATTCCCCTGGCATATTCCTTATTTAAATAATTTCATGTTTAGATCCACACTTTAGGCTTCAGGTATGACTTAATTTGTTTCATACATCAACCTTGCATGAAGGAGCCATAGGCAAAAATGCCACTTACTATTTGTACTAAGCGAAGCTCAACAAATAGAGTGATTGAAACATGCACTGAAACTAGGAATAGGTTTCTTTCTTTGCTGTATGAACCGTGTTTGGTTTAAGCACCAGAAATATATATGTAATTGCTGGGAGGCTTCATTTCTCACATTGTGCTACAAAGATCACAGCTTCATATTTATTCCCATCATGCTTAAGTTGTGCGAGTGAGTGCAGGCCCATTTATCTTTCTTTGAAAAAGAATAAGATTGCGCTTACATTTTTACACTGGCTAGCTGTTTGGCATATGGGCTAGGTCACCACTGCTGATGCATAGTTTAGACTGTGCTCATTTTTTGGGCTCAATATACTGTTCCAGGTCTGGGCATCAGGGAGTACTTGGTGAAATGCCTGCCAAATGTCCCATTTGGCACATTTATACAGGGTCCTAGCATATTGTTTGCTCTCTCCTAATTTTCTAAATATAAAAATTATAACCAGAAACTGTAAGTTCTGTGTCAATGAAGAATGCTGATTATGTACTGTTTATGTCATGTTTTTAAATTAAAGAAGAATTAGGTAATCAAGGCTACTTGTCCCACATTGTGCAGACAATGTTCTACACTCTGTAGACAGCTGGATCTTCTAAAAATCTTTGGGTGTTTTGTGAAGCTGCTGTAAAAAAGTTCCCAACAGATCTATCCCCCCTCCATTGAGAAACATTGTTTTGTAGTGCACACCATCTGTGAGGGGATAAGGGGATGGGGAGGGTCCTGTCACTCATCAAACGAGACTCAGATAGGAGTGAATGTATCTATTTTGATATAGTACATGAAAGTGTTACTAATCCCAGGACCCTGCATTCGCTATATCTGGTCCCCCACAATACACAGGGCATGGAAGTGCAATTATTATAGTAAATATAAACTGCTAAATACCTTTTCTCATCAGCAGTCTTGTGACTTCTATTTGTGTCCAGTCAAGCAAATGTAAAGCTTGTAGGAGGAGTTTTAATTCTGCTCTAGGAAAATGTAGGACCCCTGACCCTCTGTCTGGACAGAGATGATTAGCCTTGTTCTGATCACATGCACCCTCCCAAGGAAAAAAAACAAACCTCTCTTGCAACACACACCAAACTGAGCATGTGCAGAGTGACTCCACACAATATGCCTTATCAGGAGATAAGAGGGAGACACTGGAAAAAGGGGTGGATCAAAGAAGTTGGGATCAAACAGTGTTTTTACACAATGCAGAGGATTAACTCCTTAGGTTCCACAGTGAGTATAACAAGCATGCTTTATTGCAAATTTCGACTCGCCTGCTCGCCAATGGCGAGTGGAAATTATGGTGGGGGCGAGTGTGTCCCCCAGGACCATCTTGTTGAGCAGGCTCGGAGCTTAGGCCGGATCTCTCATTGGCACTGGGAGCTGTCAGACTGCTCAAAAGCTGAGCGCAGTGAAAGCAAAGGAAGGAGTGTGTGATGTGCTCTCTGCCTCCCCCTAGAGTGCAGTACCAGGATCTGTGAGTGAACAACGAAGTAATGCAACTTTTTATAGGGTGTGTGTGTGTGTACATGTGTTTGTGTGTGTCCTGTGTATGTACATGTGTGTATCTGTACATGTGTCTGTGTGTATGCACATGTATGTGTGTGTGTGTGTTTGTGTGTATGTACGTACATGTGTCTGTGTGTACATGTGTCTGTGTATGTACATGTATTTGTGTGTATGCATGTCTGTACATGCCTGTGTGTGTATACATGTGTCTGTATGTGTGTGTGTGTACATGTCTGTGTGTGTGTACAGGTGTCCCTGTTTGTTGGTGGTGAGTAACTCTTAAGGCCTGGCTAGTAGCTCAGACTTGAAATTTTAAGCCCTGCTTTATTGTATATACAGACTGATTTTACTGTTGTGGGTTTAGTAATACTTTAAAGTAAAACTATGGCCTCCAGTTAAAAATGTGCTAAAGCTTATATTTGAAAAGTTTTTTCTTAGTCCCTCTACAAAGTCCCACAAATACCCACTGAGCCCAAGAAGTCCACCAAATGCTGCTTCCTGTGATAATGTGGCAATGATGCTGCACTGCTCCTGCATTCAAAGTAGATTTTCCAGTCTCATGTAAGCTTTGGCTGCTTGCACTACAGTTGGATAAATATGGTTGCAGGGTCAAGGCTATCAGCATTGTCAATGCTGATTCAGAAACGTGTAGCTTGTCAACTGACACCCGACCATACCTAGCTCTGTCCTTTCTGAATTTATGGCATTGTCTCTGTTACTGAAACTCTCCCACTGTGAAAAGCTGTGCCTGGGAGAGGGAACACATGAGGCACAAATGAAGGAGGATTTATGTAGTTTAACCACTTGACCTCCAGAGGATTTACCCCCCTTAATGACCAGGCCTCTTTTTGCTACTCGGCGCTGCACTAATTCAACTGATAATTGCGCGGTCATGCAATGCTGCACCCAAACAAAATTTACGTCCTTTTTTTCACACAAATAGAGCTTTCTTTTGGTGGTATTTTGCTTTTTATTTTTCACACTATAAACAAAAAAAGCCAAACATTTTGAAGAAAACAATATTTTTTACTTTCAGCTATAAAAAATATATAGTAAACTCAAAGTTGGTTATAAATTTAGGCCAAAATGTATTCTGCTACATGTTTTTGGTAAAAAAAAATCCCAATAAGTGTATATTGATTGCTTTGTGTGAAAGTTATAGCATCTACAAACTATGGTATAGATACTGCAATTTACACCATTTTTTTGCTATACAGCGCTGTGCTAGTTTAACGGACAATTGCACGTTCATGCAATATGGTACATAAATGAAATTTACATCCTTTTTTTTTCCCCACAAATTGAGCTTTCTTTCGGTGGTATTTGATCGCCTGTGCGTTTTTTTTTTTGCGCTATAAAAAAAAGGCTGACAATTTTGAGGAAAAAAAAACAATATTTTGGACTTTTTGCTATAAAACATGTCCAGTAAAAAAAAAATTAAAAATCAAATTTAGTCATAAATTTCTGCCAAAATGCATTCTGCGACAGGTCTTTGCTAAAAAAAAAACCCCAATACGTGTAAATTAATTGGTTTACGTGAAAGTTATAGCGTTTACAAATGGCGGGAAAGATACTGGGATTTTTAGTTTTCTTTTTTTATACTAATAATGGCGGTAATCAGCGACTTATGGCAGCGATCAGTGACTTATGGCGGCGATCAGCGACTTATGGCGGGACTGCGGGACTGCGGCAGACATTCTGACATTGGGGGGTACACACTTGGGGTCACTGACATCCCCAGTGACACCAATACAGTGATCAATGCAAAAAAAAAACACTGACACTGTACTAATGGCACTGGGGAGGAAGGGGTTAAGTTTATTATTCAGGAAAAGGGTTAACTGTGTGAGGGGAGTGTTTTACTAGGGGGCGGGGGTGTGTACTGCAGGGAACACTGCTGATCGGGAGACAGAAACTCTTCTGTCCCAATCAGCGTGTCCTGGAGCTGTCAGGGAACTGACAGAAAGCACAGCTACTGCAGCTGTGCTCTCTGTCAGCAATTGCTGCCGATCACCAGGACATAGTCGGTAACGACCGGCTGTGACCCGGCGACTGACATCCGCGGCTGTGATCGGCGGGACAGGTAGGGCGGTAGCGCGCCTCACGCGCGCCCCCTACCTGTTTTCAACACACACGTTTTAAAACGTGCTTTTGCCCAGCCGTGCCGCCCTGCCGCCGTATTTCTACAGTGGCTGGGCGGCATGTGGTTAAGCAGGTAAATTAAAGAAGGTTTTTTGTCTGGCTTTTCCATCCCATAGTACCTGGATTTGGTACTTAGATTGTCATCAAGGTGTCTTTAGTTTTACTTTAAAGAATGTGTGTGTGTCAATGTTTATCTAAGAAAATCGAATAAAATGTGCATGCACTGAGTAAAGCATCAGGTAAAAAAAACATACAGGCTTTTTCGACCAGGGTGCCTTGAGGTTTCTTCAAAGGTACCTTGGCAAAATGTCTAAAAATTGCCCAAAACTTATATACAAGCTAAAGAGTGGAACAAGCCTGCCTTTTAGTTTCACAATGCCACAAGTTTTCATTGTGCACCATTATAAACTTCTATCCACCGCCATCCTGACAACCAGTGACATCATCAGTTGATAAGGAGCATGTCGGTTGCCTGCACAGCATCCTTGTTTGACTCTCCCCTGCCTCTCTCCGACAGGGCTGGGGTCAGATTAGCTCAGTGATGGAGAAAAATGGAGGGAGAAGAGAAACACTGGAATACTAGTCAATACCAGTATGCAAAAGTGTATTTGCTTAGGAAGAATAAATCACCTCTAACGTTGTGTGTCCTACGTTTATGGATGTTGTTGTGTTATATAAAACTAAGAAAATAGTATTTTACGTTTTAGAATGGGGTGCCTCAAGACAATAATTTTAAAGGGTGCCTTGGGACTTTCCATAATTTTAGAGGATGTCTTGACATAGTCCATAATTTTAGAGGATGTCTTGACAAAAAAAAGTTTGAGAAACACTGCTGTGGTGTACACTCCATCACAAACTATACTTGTTAGTAAATACAATGTGGAGTATTTTTATAAAACAAACATTCACTGGTGGTGAATCAATCATTGCCATTTAAAACATACAGACCAGGAATATTCATCTGCATTAAATGTTTATCAATTGCCAGATTCAATGCTTTATAAATAGGCTCCATAGCATATTTGCCTACAAGTGTGCTTTGCCATGAAGTATACATATATATTACATATCGTATGTGTATAAACATGCATTGCAGGATAATAATAATAAAAAAAACTCTGGTTATTCATGCATGATTTATGCTCTATTGTACAAACAAAGTCTTTAGAAAATCAGACCCAGTATATTCTAAATGCGCAGGAGAGAATTAATTTTTGTGAATCTTGATTTGCAACATATTGAGGTGATCCACTAGTGCAGGAGTTTCACAAAGATTTGGTAATTTACTTCAAAATTAACCCATTTGATTGAGTTTAGAATGCATTTAGCTGAACACATTTGCATATATATATGTGGAAACTGCGGTGCCTACATCAAACAGTTGAACTCCCTTCTACAATTGGTTTGGTTTGCGGCAAGTGTCGATAATTAAGAAACACTCTTAGATGGGCTTCTTACTGAACGCAAAATAGAGGGATATGGAAAATGGATTTGATATAAACACATCAACACATACACAGGTTGATCATGATAACATGTTTCAGGGACTTGCCCCTTCCTCAGATCAATGATCCTCCTGATCTGATGAAGGGGCAAGTCCCTGAAACATGTTATCATGATGACCGGCTTCTTTCCTTTGGTATGACATGGTTTGAGTGCTCCTATAGTCTTCCAGTTAACCCTCACCAGCCCTTGTTTGGGGTGTCTCTTGCCATGTGTATAACATTACAAACGGATCTGGGACACGTGACTCCCGGCAGACACGCCATCATAGTGATCCCGGCGGCTGCCATCCACACACTCCTCCCATTGTCCTGAGGCTCTTGGGCTGAGCAACCTACAGCTGGATACAGGATCATGTGTCATCCTCCAGCCTCTGGGAATATGTGTTTCTTCTCTCCACTGTCTTGATGATGTATCAATCTGGGCACTTTTATATGTCATGCTTTTTAACCCAACATTAAAGTGAATTTCAATTTTATCTGCTCCTGAGTTTGTGATTCTATTGACCTTCACAGGGCTGGGAGTGCTCCTTTATTTGTTGTTTTTTGTTAATAAAAAAAATATGGATAGGAAAACAGTAAACAGAGGAGCCTTGGTGTAGCCACTGCAGCTTCCACATATATTTGCAAGAGTGTGCAAACCTCTGTTTTTTACATGGATTGTTAGAGTCAATTTGACCTAGTTGGTAAGTGTTCTGGAATACTTTTTTTCTATTTGAGCATTGCTCTTCCATGTGCAGCTTATTGTAAAGGCAAGTTATAAACTGAGTTGGTTTGCCATCTCTCTCTCTCATATATATATATATATATATATATATATATATATATATATATATATATATTAATCTAGTAGTAAGAGGCCTGCAACGAGCATTGGAAACAGAACTGACAACAGATATAGAAGCTATAGGAGAGTTTACTGTTTGCCAAGGTCCATGGCCAGGCTCAGAGACCAGTAGCTATAGAACTAGAGAGGCTCTCACTTACCAACTGCAAAAGTATACAAGCAGGTCACTGTACAGGATGGGGAAAGAACAATAGAGGGCACAGAGGCCTAGTGCATTACCATATAAAATGTGCAGATTGTACTCCTGCAGAGCGGTGCAGCGGCGCGATCTGTCACCGGCCGTGTACCTTGGACATGGCCGATGACAGATCTGAGTATCGGCCCCGTTGTTGGTACCATGTGACCTGCTGTGACCAATCACAGCAGGTCACATGACAGTTGTATACAATGGATGGCTTAATTCCTGCCATCCATTGTATACTAGTGTCTAGCTGTGAATGGTCACAGCTAATCACATGCACATGTCATGTGATTAGCTGTGGCCAAATCACAGTTAAGCACAATCAAACAACAAAAACAAATGTCGATGTTATTCAGGTAAATAATTCTTTGCTATAAGCAAATTGTGTAAAAAAAAAACAAAATACTGATCACTTCCCCAAAGTAGTACAATGTTACTATGGTAACATTGTACTACTTTGGTCATAGTGAAATATGAAAAAAAAATCTTAAAAAAGAGAAAAAAAATTTTTTTCATACTGTCACCAGTCAGTGTCCCTGATCACCGCCATTCCAGTTATATGATGATGCTGTACTGCACTGGTGACAGTAT